TACAGGAGAACAAAGAAATCAACATCCATTTTTTAAAATTATTATTTTGTTCTTATTGTCTATAGCAGTGTTTCTCAACCTTGGTAGCTTGAAGATGGGTGGACTTCAACTCCCAGAATCCCCCAGCCAGCAGCAGTCCACCCATCTTCAAGCTTCCAAGGTTGAGAAACACTGGTCTATAGGTTTTGTAACAATTTTTTATCTTTTTAATATTGTTAAATTGCCCAGAGGGATCTTGTCATAAGACGGGCGGTCAAGAACTTTAATAAAATAAAATAATAAATAAATAAAATATTCCAGAGGACAGGATGAGAACTAAAATCTGGAAAACTGTAGGGATTTCTTTAGACACGGGTTTGTGGGTCGGTGGATTCCCCAGACTGCCTGGGAAAGATGGAGCTTGGTTACAGAAGAATATGAAAAAGATACTATATACATCTTTGTAATATACATTCAGAGTGCCAGTTTGGTCTAGTTACCGTAGTTAAGGCACCAGGCTACAAAGCAGGAAATTGTGAGTTTTGGTCCCACTTTAGCTGGCTGGGGGACTTTGGGCCAATCACCAGGAGACGGTGAGTTCTAGTCCCATTTTAGGCTTAAAAGCCAGATGGGTGACTTTTGGGTAAATCACCAGGTGACAGGACAAAAGCAGGCTGGGGGTGTTTGCACCAATCACCAGGAGAAGGTAAGTTATAGTTCTGTTTTAGGCATGAAAGCCGGCTGGATATGTTTAGGCCAATCACCAGGAGATGGTGAGTTCTAGTCTCGCCTTAGGAGAGAAAGCTGGCTGGTTGATTTGGGGACAGTCACTCTCTCCCAGCCCAACCCACCTCACAGGATTGTTGTTGTGGGGGAAAAAAGAGGAGGAAGAAAGAATGTTATGTATATTCGCCGCCTTGAGTTACTTATACATTAATAAAGGTGGGATAAAAATAAACAATAAATAAAAGGCAATCCAAATCCCCATAACATATCTAGATCAGGGGTGGGCAAATATGGCCCCTTCACGACCTGTGGACTTCAACTCCCAGAATTCCTGAGCCAGCTTGGCTGTCTCAGGAATTCTGGGAGTTGAAGTCCACAGGTTGTAAAAGGGCCACATTTGCCCACCCCTGGTCTATTTTCTCATATTCGTGCCGGAAAATATGAAATAGATGAAACAAGATAGGGTAATAGCACACATGCATACTAGAACATTTATCACAGGGGTGTCAAACTCAAGGCCGGTGGGCCAGATCTGGCCTGCTGGGTGCTTAGATCTGACCCGCAGAAACAGCAAAGGACCGGCCCGCAGTACCTCTGCCAGTGAAAATGGGAGCTCTGTTTTCCCTGGCAGAAGGTTGCAGGAGGCCTTCGCAGCTGAAAACAGAGCTCGGGAGCCCGTTTTTGCTGACAGAGCTCTCAGGCCACCAGAGATGCCCCCTACACGAGTGACATCAAGCTGGCCATGCCCCCGCTGGCCACACATACTGCCCCCCCCCAAGGTTAAACACAACCCTGATGCAGCCCTCAATGAAATCGAGTTTGACACCTCTGATTTATGCTCTTCCTAGAATTAACATATAGATACCCTGTTTCCCTGAAAATAAGACCAAACTTAGGAAAATAGGTCTTAGCATGATTTTTCAGGATGCTCGTAATATAAGCCCTACCCCCCAAATAAATCCGAGTTAAGATTGTCAGCCAGATGGATGCATTTAGTACCGTATTTTCCCCAAAATAAGACCTAACCAGAAAATAAACCCTAATGCATATGTTGGAGCAAAAATTAATATAATTAATTTAATTTTGGTCTTCCGGGTGCGCTTCAAGGTATTGGTTCTCACCTTTAAAGCGCTCCATGGCTTAGGGTCCGGTTATTTACGAGATCACCTTCTGCCACCGATAACCTCCCACCGGCCAATTCGCTCCCACAGAGAGGGCCTCCTCAGGGTGCCGTTGATCAAGCAATGCTGACTGACGACCCCCAGGGGGAGAGCCTTCTCTGTGGGGGCACCCGCCCTCTGGAACGAGCTACCCCCAGGAATACGACTGATCCCGGACCTCCGGACCTTCCGTTGAGCTTTGAAGACCTTCCTATTTCAGCAAGCTGGGCTGGCTTAAAATTTTAATGGGTTATTTTAAGGGTAATGGGTTTTAATTTTTGGGAAACCAATTCGATTTAATTCTGTTTTTAAATTATTTTAAATTTTATATTGTATGTATTTTAATTTTGGCTGTTCACCACCCTGAGTCCTTCGGGAGAAGGGCGGTATACAAATTTAAACAATAAAATAAATAATAAATAAATAAGACCCGGTCTTATTTTCGGAGAAATATAGTAGTTCTCGTTTAGTGACTATAATTGGGACGAGCAACTTGGTCATGAAGCAAAGCAGTCACTAAGTGAAACTGTGACCGTGGCTTAAGGTTTTAATTCCACTTTGCTTTGCTTTCCTTTCCAAACTGCACAGAGGGTCAACGTGAGGGGTTGGTTGGAAAGTTACTTTTTCTTCGTAATTGCGAATGGTTGCTAAACGAGGCAGTCACTAATCGAGGACCTGTAGATGTCTGGGATTGTTGAAAAGTGGTGGGGCAAGGAAAACTGGGCTATCCCTTCCCTGTCCTACAAGGATTATATCAGCTCTCCCGATAACAGCATAAATCGTTCAAAAGACAAGCTGTTAACGGTAAGGCCCTTGTTTTCCTTGGACCGGTGCCCTGATCCGCAGCTTACAATTAAGCGAGCTTTAATTGCTTCCAGGTAATTGGTTACACACCCTCAAATCTGCCTGTTCATTCATAAGTGTCAAAGCAAAAGACCAGTGAGATCACCAGACTCCCAGTGAGAAACATCAGGCTCAAGTAAAAAAACCAATAGAAGTTATTTTTCTCTACAGGTAGTCCTTGACTTACAATGGTTTGCTTAGCAACCCATTGATGTTTTCACAGAGCTACCTGGGGGGAATTACCTAAGATCCAAATTCAAACTTCCAACAGCCGCTCACATTTATGGCTGTTTCTAGCAACTCGCAGTCATGTAACTCTGTTTTTGCCGAATACCAACATTTATGAGCTGTGGTGGCGCAGTGGTTAGACTGCAGTACTGCAGGCTACTTCTGCTGCCTGCAATTCGGCAGTTCAAATCCCAGCAGGCTCAAGGTTGACTCAGCCTTCCATCCTTCCCGAGGTCAGTAAAATGAGGACCCAGGTTGCTGGGGGCAATAGGCTGACTCTGTAAACTGCTTAGAGAGGGCGGTAAAAGCACTGTAAAGCACTGTAAAGTCTAAGTCCGTGATGGCGAACCTATGGCACGCGTGCCACAGGTGGCATGCAGAGCCATATCGGTGGGCACGCGAGCGTTGCCCTAGTTCAGCTCTGGCACGCAGGTATGTGCTGGTCAGCTGATTTTTGGGCCTTCCGGGCCCACCGGAAGTCGGCAAACAGGCTATTTCCAGCCTCTGAGAGCCTCCGGAGGGGGTGGGGAAGGCTGTTTTTGCCCTCCCCAGGCTCCAAGAAAGCCTCTGGAGCCTGGGGAGGGCAAAAAACGGGCCTACTGGGCCCACCGTGCCATCGCATGCCAAAAGCGAGGAAAACGCAGGGGTGTCGCGCGTACATGCGCGTGGGGGCAAGGCGTACTGAATTATGGGTGTGGACACACGTGGGTGTGACCCCCCCGTGCTCCTCCCGCTTTTGGCACACGAAGGCAAAAAGGTTAGCCATCACTGCTATTGCTACTGCTATTTTCGGATTAAAACAATGCCCATTACCAAATTACTCGTTGGTTTTAACAACCGCTGTGTTTGTTTAACGAGCACAGCGTTCACTTAGTGACCAGCTGCTGCAAACAAGCTAGTAAAATTGGGCCAGTCCCATGATTTTCCAACTGTCACAGGTTATGACAGTGATGGACAGGCTCCATTACAGTCATAACTCAAGAACTACCTTTATATAAATTAGGCCAGGGATCTGCAACCTTAAACATCCAAAGAGCCATTTGGACCCGTTTCCCACAGAAAAGAAAACACCGGGAGCCACAAAACCCTTCCCGTGCCTGACTATTTCTTGAGTGGCCACAAAACTAGCATATGTAGTTGAATTAAACATTCTGTTTTCTTCTGAAACTTTTCTTTTCTTGGATTTATCCATGGTTGGCCTACTGGGGGTTGAAAAGCTCAATAAATCACATGCCAGCGGGTGTCACACATTGGCGGTTGTGACACATAATTTGAGTGACAGGGAGCCGCAGCAGAGGGGTGAAAGAGCCACATGCGGCTCCAGAGCCGCAGGTTGCTGACCCCTGAATTAGGCAATGTAATAGGTAAGTCTCAGAAAATGACAGGAAGCAGCTCCTCTTGAAATCCCCGATTTTCATCAGCATCAAATTTTTAGGTAGAGCAGAACCTATTATACAATGTAACTACAGGTAGTCCTCGACTTATGACCACAAGGGAGCCCCAAATTTCCATGGCTAAGCAAGGCAGTTGTTAAGTGAGCTTTGCCTCGTTTTACAACCTTTTGTCCTATAGTTGTTAAGCGAACGAATGCACTTAAATGAATCACACGGCGGTTTAGGGAATCCAATTTCCCCCATTGATTTTGCTTCTCGGAAGCCAGCTCGGAAGGTTACAGGAGAGATTAATGGTTTATGTTATTAGAATAACAGAGCTGAAAGGAACCTTAGAGGTCATCTAGTCCCACCCGCTGCTTAGGCAGGAAACCCCATAGCATTTCAGACAAATGGTTATCCAATCTCTTCTTAAAAATTTCCAGCGTTGGAGCATTTACAATAGAAGGTGACTCCAAGGCACTGCAACCGTCATAAATATGAAGCAGTTGCCAAGCGTACTGAATTTTTGATCACCTGACCGTGGGGGGGATGCCGCAAAAATCAGTCATGGTTAGTTTTTCAGCGCTGTTTTAACTTCAAACGGTCACTAAGCGAATGGCCATAAGTCGAGGGCTACCTGCAAAGCTTCGCCTTCGCAAAAGAAGAAAAAAAAAAGTTTGGCCTTCCTTACCTGAGCGAAGTCGCCATTTCTGGGTAAGAAATCAGCAAGGCCTTGAGGTGCGAAGTTGGGATCCGAGAAGAGCTGCCCGTTGGTGGAATTGGTGTAGAAATTCGAAGGGGCATTAAAATATTGCCTGTAAAGGAACGGAAAGTATTATCGGATCGGAGACTTCGTTTTGAAAGCGCTTTGCCCTGAGACTGCAGAGCAGTGGTGGGTTCCTCCCGGTTCGGCCGAGCCGGCAGCGGTGACGATATGACGTCACCAAACCGGTTCTGCTCTCCCTGACCCCCACCCCCGTTATTCTTACCTTTTATTTGGCCCCACCCCCAATCTATTGCTGCCTCCTGAGTCCCAGCTGATTGGCTGGAAGGAAAAAAACTGTTTAAACTCTTGCAGGGCTTCAAAGGGCCACCCTACAGCTGATCGGTGTGGTGGTAGACCGGTGCCTCCAAAAACAAATGAGTAGACCCAGGGGTGGGTTCTAAATTTTTTTACTACCGGTTCTGTGGGCATGGCTTATTTTGTGGGTGTGGCTTGGAGGTCATGTGACTAGGTGGGCGTGGCTAGCTGGTCAGAGTCATTTCTGGAAGGTCCTCGCACTTACGACCAGTCCTCGCACTTACGACCCGACTCATTTGTTTGCTTTTAACACTGATCAGCTGTAGGGCGGCCCTTTGAAGCTCTGTGGCAAGAGTTTAAACAGTTCTTTTCCCTCTAGTCATCATTTGGGACTCAGGAGGCAGCAATAGATTGGGGGTGGGACCAAATAAAAGGTAAGAATAATGTGGGTGGGGGGGTGGGAGGGCGGGGGGGAGAACCAGTTCGGTGACGTCATATCGTCACCGCTACTGGCTCGGCCGAACCGGACCGAACCGGGAGGAACCCACCACTGAGTAGACCGGTACAGCTCTGCAAGCAGTTAAAAGCCTGGTAGACCAGTACCTCTGCTAAATCCTAAAGAATTGTCACATGACCATCAAGCCATGCCCACAAAATAAGCCACGCCCACAGAACCAGTAATAAAAAATTTTAGAACCCACCCCTGCTGCAGACACAGGGGTGGAGTGGGGCTTTTGTTTAAACAAAACTAAACAAAACAAAACAATAGAGCAATAGAGAAAATAAAGTAGAAAAACAAGGAACACAAAGCCACAATCAAAAGTGAAAAACAAATACGACACAGCCAAATTTACGTATCTAAGAACTACGCCTTTCTATATGTATATTATACAGGTGGTCCTCGACTTGCGACCACAACGGAGCCCAAAATTTCCCTTGCTAAGGGAGACATTGGTTAAGTGATATTTGCCCCATTTCTGGCCGCAGTTGTTAAGCGAATCACAGCAGTGGGTAAGTCAGCAACACGGTTGTTAAGTGAATCTGGGTTCCCCGTGGACTTTGCTTGTCGGAAGGTCGCAAAAGGGGATCACGTGACCCCGGGAGACTGCAACCGTCATAAATATGAGTCAGTTGCCAAGCGTCTGAATTTTGATCACGCGACCATGGGGAGGCTGCAACTGTCGTAAATGTGAAAAATGGTCATAAGTCCCTTTTTTCAGTGCCGTTGTAACTTTGAACGGTCGCTAAATGAACTGTTGTAAATCGAGGACTACCTGAGTGTAAAACAAAGGGTGACTATATTTCACTAGCACTGACAATGAATGCTTGGAAGGATACCGCATTTAAATATTTTGGCACATCGCTACCCAAACGCCCCCAAAAGTTTTAGATGACCTGATTCTACCCTTACATTCTACCCACAATCAGCAGCTCTCCAGAAGTTTGAAATTACTAGGTACCATTGCTTTGGTCGCTTGCAATTACGTACTCACCAAGAGGCTAGTCCTCACCCTTGAAAGGGAAAGCATCTGACTGATTACAGACAGGAAGGAAAAAGAGATCCCAGCTGATCTGGATGGTATCAGTGAGTTAATTATCAGAATCTGGATTTACATTCGCCGAAACTTTACAGGTAGTCCTCGATTTACAAACATTCATTCAGCGACCGTTCAAAATTAAACAGCACTGAAAAAAAATGACTTATGACCAGTCCTTGAACTTATGAATATTGCAGCATCCCCACGTTCACATGATCAAAATTCAGGAGCCTGCACACTGGCATTTCAGATAGTCCTCGACTTACAACAGTTCATTTAGTGACGGCTAATGGCACTGAAAAAAGTAACCTGTGACCATTTTTCACACTTGATTATTGCAACATCCCCATAGTCACATAATCAAAATTCAGACGCTTGGCAACTGACTCACATTTATGACCGTTATAGTGTCCTGGGCTCATGTGATCTCCTTTTGAGACCTTCTGACCAGCAAAATCAACGGGGAAGCCAGACTCACTTAACAACCGTGTTACTAACTTAACAGCTGCAGGGATTCACTTAACAACTGTGGAAAGGAGGTCGTAAAATGGAGCAAAATTCGACCCCTGACCACAATTGAGCCCCAAATTTTTGTTGTTAAGTGAGACATTTGTTGAGCGCTGTCCCATTTTACGGTCCTTTCTCGTCTCGGTTCTTAAGTGAATCACTGCAGTTGATAACTTAGCAATCCGGTTGTTAAGTGAATCGGGGCCCCCCCCATGGATTTCGCTTCTCAGAAGGCAGCCAAAGGGGATCACGTGACCTTGGGAGTCTGCAACCGTCGTTAAGTATGAACCGGTTGCCAAGCGTCTCAATTTTGATCACAGGACGCTGCCAAGGTCATAGTTGTGAAAAACAGTCATAAGTCGCTTTTTCAGTTCCCTTGAATGGTCACTAAACCAACTGTTGTAAGTTGAGGACAAAGGAGGAAGTGGGTATGTTGGACAACCTATCTCTCTTTTAAACCCTCGGGTGCTTAACTTGAGAGCCGGATAAATGCAGGCCAAGTCTTCAAGATTAGAGCCTTGGTGGCGCAGTGGACTAAGTGCTGTCAAAGTAGCACTTAGTTGCCAGCTGCCTGCAATTACTGCAAGTTCGAATCTCACCAGTCTCAAGGTTGACTCAGCCTTCCATCCTTTCGAGGTAGGTAAAATGAGGACCCGGATTGTGGGGGCAATAAGCTGACTTTGTATAAAAAAGAACACTGTTTAGGGGGGCCCAAAAGCCCTACTAAGCAGGTATATACAAAAGTATGAAAGGCTATTGCTTAACGCATTGTAAACCACCCTGAGTCTCCGGAGAAGGGCGGCATATAAAACAAACAAACAAACAAACAAACAAACAAACAAACAAACAAACAAACAAATAAATAAATAAATAAATAAATAAATTCAATATTAAATCTGGTGGGGGGGGTTCAGAGAAGTGGCCTGGGCTTCATTAGATCCACAAGATCTGTGTTAAGGTTCCTCACTTTTTAGATTTCCTGCCCACACATCCGTCGCCTAAGCACACACTCATGAGTTCTGCCTCCAGGCAACGGTGAGGACCAGCCACCTGAAGAGTCCTCCTTCAATAAGGGAGAGACGCACGCACACAAAGCCGCCCCCTCGGCTTACGCAAAGCAGGATAAGCAGTCGCCAGTTCACATCCTGGAGAGCGGGCGGGGGGGGGAGGCTGAAGCCACGATAAGGAGGAGGACACTGACGCCGGCTTTCCACCCTTTAAAATCCTCTCCGTCGAAAGAGTGAGTCTGCTCGGCCGAAACCTCTGCCCACAAAGCTTGACACATGGCACCACCTTAAGTTTTGCTTTTACTCTCCCAGCCTGGCTGGTGGGAACGTCCCCGGTTCGGATGCCTCATCTTTCCAGTAAAAGGACGGCCGCGCGCTGCTATGGGACGGGCTGAGCCACAAAAGGCCAGGCAGGGCGCCAAGGCTTACATCCTGCAGAGCGGCTGAGAGCATGTGGGGACCCCTGCAGGAAGGCTGCTGCATCCCCACGGCTGGAGAAACTGCTCCTGTGTTCGGGGTTCCAAGCCCGAAGAGACAGGACCCTAAAACCAGGGCAGATCGATTTATGAAAATGTGTTTAGCTCTCTCTCTCTCTCTCTCTCTCTCCTCGAGCTGGCCGGGATTCCCAACGCAGCTGGGGGAAGTGCAGGAAGAGCCTGTTTGATCTACGCTCTCTGTGGGTTTTCATCAGAGCTGGGTTTCAGCCGGTTCTGAAGAACTGGTAGCGGAAATTTTGAGTAGTTCAGAGAACTGGTAGTAAAAATTCTGACTGGCCTTGCCCCCATCTATTCTCTGCCTCCCGAGTCCCAGCTGATTGGGAGGAAATGGGGATTTTTTTTAATTTTTTGGGGGGGCTTTAATTTATATGCCGCCCTTCTCCGGAGACTCAGGGCGGCTTACAATGCGTTAAGCAATAGCCTTCATACTTTTGTATATTTTATACAAAGTCAGCTTATTGCCCCCACAAACTGGGTTCTCATTTACACCTACCTTAGAAAGGATGGAAGGCTGAGTCAACCTTGAGCCTGGTAAGATTCGAACCTGCAGAAATTGCAGGCAGCTGTGTTAATTACAGGGTGCATTAAACCACTGTACTACCAAGGCTACCAAGGATTTTGCAGTATCCTTCCCTGGGAGTGGGGTGAGAATGCCACACCCACCAAGCCACGCCCACCAAGCCATGCCACGCCCACCAAGCCACACCCACAGAACCGGTAGTAAAAGTTCTGACTGGCCCCGCCCCTCTCTATTCTCTGCTTCCCAAGTCCCAGCTGATTAGGAGGAAATGGGTATTTTGCAGTATCCTTCCCCGGGAGTGGGGTAAGAATGGAGATTTTACAGTATTCTTCCCCTGCCACACCCACAAAGCCACGCCCACCAAGCCATGCCCTGCCCTACCCACCAAGCCACACCCAGAGAACCGGTAGTAAAAAATTTTTGAAACCCGCCACTGGTTTTCGCGTTTTACTTCTTAGATGTTTTTAACCTTCTTGACGTCAGCAAAAAACGGGTAGTCCTCGACTTATGACAGTTCGTTCAGTGACCGTTCGAAGTTACAAGCGAAGTCAAGGGGGAAGTTGTTACTGATTTAACAACTGCAGTGATTCACTTAACAAAGGTGGCAAGACAAGAAGAGTCGTAAAATGGGGCAAAACTCACTTAACAAATGTCTCACTTAGCAACATGAATTCTGGGCTCAGTTGTGGTCATAAATCAAGGACTAACTGTATTGCGGGCCCAAT